CATGTTGCGCATCTCGTGCAGTAGGAGCTCTGATTGTGTTCCGTAGCCCACTTTGCTGTCTTCGTCGCCCGTAGAGGTACCTCGTCCGAGCAATGACGTGAGGTTCATCACGTCCTGTTCATGTCCGAGACGGTCGTCCCACCGGTGAGGGAGGATGGTGTTGGGTGGAGTCTCGATGAAAGTCACGTTCCGGCTCTCGTAGACCTTGTCTTTGCCCTCCACGTAGATCCGGTACGTCTTGCTGTCAGGTCCGTAACCGCAGAGCTTGCCTTCAAAGGCCCGATCGTCTAGCTTCTTCTTGTATCGCTCGTGATGAACGAACGCGCGGGCGCCGATGGCACGAAGTCGAGAAAGGTCCGGGGTTGTGTTGTACATCTTGGAATACGGCGTGGCTCCCCCTAGCGCCGCGTGTGGGGTCCTGTTGGTCAGGCATGCTGCAGTCATCATGCGCTCCCCCCACATGTGTTTTGGGAAGTCTCCATCGCGCAGTAGAGCTCGAGTCACAGCCGCAAGTGTCTGGCCATCCCTTTCTGACACTCCGATTTCTTGGGGCGTGTTGGTCGCGGCGAATTCCAGCTTGATCGCAGACTCTCTACAGTAGTTGCGCATTTCTTCCCTAGTGTTCTCTCCCCCTTTGTCACAGCGTAGAACCTCGATGCGGTAGCCTTCAGATGCTACTTGCATGTTGTAGGCGTGCAGAGCTTGCGTGGTTTCGGTCCTGTCGCGCAGTAGGTACACTTCCCGCATTCTGGTGAAGACGTCGGTCGCTTTGGCGACATAGGAGTAGGTGCGTCCGTTGTACTTCGCAGGCGGGTCGATTGGTCCCATGTTGTCGAACTGGACGAGTTGGCCTGGTTTGGTCAGGACACGGCTGGTCTTCTTCGGGACGGGAGCCTTCTTGTGCTTCGTGATTTGGCAGTTGTCGCACGGGGATACAGGTCCGTCATATTTCACACCTGTGGCGGGGTTGCGCCGCAAAATCTCCATAGCACGTGGATTGATGTGGCCGAGGCGCCGGTGCCAGAGGTCGGCGCTTACGCTCATCGCCGCTGAGCATGTCGCGTGCAGTGTGTGATCGATCTGTACCGCTTCTGGTTTTCCGAACTTCGTTTGCGCCCTGGTTCTTGGTTGTTCGGGGGTGTGTTGCTTGTCGACGCTGGAT